AGTGCCTCTTGCTCAATATTTGGTCTGTGCATTTGCCAGACTTGTGGGGCTGACTTCGGCAGGCTCTGCTTACTCTTTCCCGACTCGGTTGGACTTTGGTTCGGCTCGGTTAGACTGTATGGCTAGTGCTGATGCCTTCGGGTGTTGGTGCTGCCTCATTTATGGCTCCCAGATGTGGCTGGTGGGCCCCCCTTAACTATTCGACATTGAGGGTTGGGGCTGTGTTCGTGTGGCCAAGACCCGTGGCTGCCTGATGGGGCTGGGTATACGCTGTCCTGTGACTATCGGATTGTTGATCTGTCTGAGGGGCTGGGGGGGCTGGATGAACTCTGTGGTGTCTGGTGTGTGGGGCTTGGAGGGGGCTGATTGTGGGGGGAAGAGGTACCTGCGAGCACCGGTTGGGCCTGCGTCAGGCTGGATGAGGTCGAATGAAGTGTTTCCAGTCCAGCTTGGGCTGTTGGGCGAAGCTGCTGAGTACTGTAAAGCTCCCCGACGGACCGGTTGGCTGATAGCCACCTGTGCGGATAGTGGGTTGCGACCACCTGGTTGGACTTGTTTGGGTCTTGCGTGCTGGGTTTTGTGGGATTTGTTTGGTTTCTTTAGTTTGGTTCCGGGCATGGCTGGCGGGGGCAAGGCACCACGGGTAGGAGATAGGCCCCACTGACTATTTCGGTCTGTCACCACCTCTATGTATTTCTTCTGTTTATAGAATTTTGTTTTTTGGGGGACAGGTAGCAGGTACAGGTCCTCCTTACCATTACCCTCTTCAGAGGCACTTGGCAAAGTGGGTTCATAAGGTCGACAGTCAGGCATGCAGATGCGAGAGGTGGACATGTTGGTCATCTCTTCTCTGCCATTGTGTCACCTGTAGTTTATATTTGTTTTAGTTTTGTTGGTTTTCTACTGTGGTGGAGGTTTTGTGGGATGGTGTTCAGACCAGGTGGTAGTGATTTTATATTTTGTTAGACAAGGAACCTGGTTGAGTCGGTCTTTTGCTCGGCTTCGGCTATGCTTAGTGCTGGTTGGCTTCATACCAGAGGGGCTACGGACTTGGACCGGGGTGGGCGCTGGGTTGTTTGATGGTCTTGTAATTAGTTCTCATGTGGGCATGACTCAGGGATGGCAGGTGCAGGGCCGTAGACTTAGTTAGCTTAGGATTAGTGGTATACCAGTTAGAAGTATCCCTGTGCCGGCGGGAGCTTATTGTATACCAGTATTAGCGGTACGAGTTTAAATAAAATTAGATTGACTTCTAAGTACTTTTCCTACTTATTACTTTAACGGATATAAATCACCTTCACGATCTTTATCTTTATTACAGTGTTATCATTACACCAAGCAAAGCTCTTCACGAAGAAGAGTTAGAGAAAGCTTACGATAAGCATTCCCGGTTGAAGACAGAGGTCTTGTACCATTAGTAATATAGGCAGAGGCCTAGTGCTATCGTAAGACTAAAGAAGGAAACAGAAGAAAAGAAGTATCGTTCCCCGTCGCCAAGAACTAACTATCCAAGGAGGGATCATTACAGCAGCTGAGAAAAGCTAGTTGCCAGTGTACGACTCAACTTGGAAGAGCAGCAATCCAACGAAAATGGAAGCCAGTGGGAGGAAAGGAGATAAGAGTCTTTCTAGCCCTCTTAATCTATATGGAGGCTAGAAGGGGCATGGGGAACCTAGGTTTTTCGAGCAATATACAGAGAGATTCAATCCTCCGGGTAATAACAATCAAGTGGTTCAGCCAGATAAAATGCTACCTCTATATATCTGACCTTGAGAAGACACTTTCTCGGTCATGATGGTACCGTAAATTAGAGTCTTTAAATAGTCTTATCTGCGATTGGTGCTAGCAATACTATCCCTCATCGTCTAATCTTACTGTGGATAAGATGATGATACGTTTCGGTGGCCACAGTCTGCACACAGATCGTATGCCTAGTAAACCTATTACTGAGGATTATATGGTTTTCGCATTGTATGTTGTGGATTATACCTACAGTTAGATTTTTGTATGTGCTCGGAGTCATTTGCTAAGCTAGTCCTTTTGGAGAATCTAACCTCTACTGGCTCTGCTGTATTTCAACTAGAAACATCTTTGCTATATACTACATCTGGCCTACACTTCAATATATATATGGATAATTATTTCTCCTCAACTGCTCTATTAGAAAAGTTACGAGAGATTGGGTTGGGTAACTGTGGTACAGCCTGAGTAAGTCAGAAGGCTTTCCCCCCCCACCTCCATGACAGTCACCTCAATATACCTTGGAATGACGTTACTGGAGCTCCTACTTTCCTGAGTGGCAAGGTTTTAGCTGTGCAATAGCAAGATATTAGCGCTGTTCATTTTCAATCAACCATTTATAATCTGGAGGATCATGTTACCACAGAATGCAAAAAGCCTTGTCTTAGCAGCAGTAATGGCCCTGCTATATGCTGAGTATTTGGGTCTCCTGACAGCACAAAGGTTTCTATTCCAATTATCACAAATGATTACAACCAAGACAAAGTCGGTGTAGATGTGGCCGATCACTATAGAAGCTACTACTTCACGCAATTAAAGTGTCTTCGAAACTTGCCTCTTAATTTTTATTGGCTGTTAGACACAACCATAATCACCTCCCACCTCATTGTGCGACACCTTTCATCCCTTTATGAGTACCGGGCTTGTTCTTGCACTTTTCGTCTAATTCTTGCTGAATTACTTCTGGCAAATTATGGCTCTTGTACTAGGCTTCGAAAGCCTCCCAAATCCTATTACACCCGCAAAACCAGCCTGAGTACATCTTACTATAGTAAGTAACAGCAAAGGATAAAGCTTGCTCCTCCTTCTGGCTCTCCTACTTAATATCACTTTACCTGTATGCGAAACACTCTAGTGGGCTGCGCGTAGTGTCGATTTATGTTGCGTAGCATGAATTGGAAGGACAAGAGAGTACCCTGCACCCAGTATGTGTATTCTGGCCCTAGGTGCCGCATTGGTCTTTGTCTAGAGTGTTACAATAAGAGGCATGTAGGGCTTTTTATTTCTTAGTTAATATTTTAGATCTTATTTTAGTTTTGCTTGAAGTCTTCTTTCAATCTATCAAGATCATGGTGTTTTGAGTACAAGATGCAACCGTAGTCATTTGATATCACATGCTTGATTTCTAAGTGCTAAGCTTCCCCACTTAGATTAGCGTGCCTGGAACCATTTTTGACTGTTTCAAACCGCCTAAGTGATATTACTATAGAGTACTGTACTTGAGTACTTGATCCTGTGTGACGTCTAGGTAGTGCAGCAGCAGCCCTTATAAATAAATAGAACCGGTAGTATTCTTGCGAGTATCATACTCGGGTATCATACTGTAGAGTACGAGTACTGTATGAGTACTAGTACATACTCGAGTAGTCTACGGTAGACAAGCCGGTGCTTCTCGTTGTTGTTGAGGGACTGAGGTTAGGTATCCGTCGGCCCGTGATATTTCCTTTCTCTCAAATTGGGCCCTCGTCGTCATCGACTCAATTCTTTCTTGGGCCAAGTGGGAACTCCAATGGAGTGGCCATGTTCGCGGTTGCTGGGTACAGTCGTGTCCGTAAAGTCTTCATACCCCAGCACGGCAATGGTGTTGTCCTATATCCCCACAACAACCACCTCTACCATGACCCCCCCACATACCCGAAGAGCTAGAGAAGATCAAAATAAGGAAATTTATACCCTGTATAAACATACTGATATGGGGTATAATAAAATTTCTAAGGTTATGGGTATCTCTAAGGCAACTGTTCAATCAGTAGTCAAAAGAGCTGAATCAAGAGATGGAAATACCCATGATGCTCCCAGATCTGGAAGACCAACAACAATTACCCCTCAAAAAAAAAAGATAGTGGAGTCCATTATCGATGCCAAGCCTCATTTAGCGTTACGCGACATTACCAAAAAAGCGAATATTGGTCTGGGAAAGACATCTGTGGATAAGATCATATCAGAAGCTGGTTTTAAGCTTCTGATACCTAGAAAAAAACCTTTTTGGAGGAAAGGACAGAAGGAGAAGAGAAAGGAGTTTGCTAGGAGAAGGAGGAATTGGAGGGGTGCATGGAATTGGGTTGTTTTTGTAGAGGAAGCCACCATTATCTATAATCCAAATCCTACTGGCAGGAAGGTCAGAGTTAGACCTAGTGAAGAGCTGGAAGAAAAAAACTTGAAGCCTAGCTTTAAGTCTGGGAGGACTAGTATTGGGGTCTATGCTGCAATCATGAAGGGTGGCAGGACTGAGTTAATTCTTGTGAGGAAGAGGGGGGAGGAAGAACGGACCAGCAAAAGAGACAGACTTGGCCTCAATTCCCACCAATATGCAACTGAAATCCACCAGCCATACCTCATCCCTTTTATAGAAGGTCTGGATAGACCTTCTGACAACATCTACCTAGCAGCAGACAATGCCTCCTGGCATGGTGGTGAGGAAAACAGAAAATTGCAGTCAGACTGTGGTTATCAAAAATTGCCTTGGCCACCCAACTCACGAGATCTCAACCCTATTGAGAACACTTGGACTCTGCTCAAAAGAGCCCTCAGAAGTCGATTCTCCAGGTTGGATAGGAGGCCTCACAGTGCTGCTGAATTATTTCAGGCAGCAAAGGAGGAATGGGATTTAATTTCCCAAGAGAAGTTGGATGGGTGGATAGATAGGATGCCTGAGAGAATACAGGCTGTACTAGATGCAGATGGTGGTCATACAAAGTGGTAATAATATTTTCTTAAGGCTTATTAGTTCTATTCATATACTTTTCTTAATTGAGTTGTTTGAATTTTTTTTCAATTTTCCATGGAGAGGTGTTGTGATTGTGTGGTTGCGCCACCGGGGTATGAAGACTTTACGGACACGACTGTACAGTTAGAAACGTGGGTCCTGAGAATTAAATTTAATTAACCGACCAAATCTGGGTAACCCTCAATGAAATAACCCCTCCCCACCCAAACAACCAGAGCCCTGCTTGAATTACCGTAAATTTTTTGTTGTTCGTGTGATCGTAAACAACGACAACCACAAAGAAGCTTAATCTTCCTCCACCAAAACCATTCTTGTCTCCTTCGCCAATTCTCCAGTCAATCAATCTGCTCTCCACGGGGCTTACAAAAGTACTTTAATTTTATTTGAACAATGGCACCGACTCCAGTCTACATTGTCTCCGCTGCCAGAACTCCTCTTGGAGGGTTCCAGGGGTGAGTTTGATTGATCCAATTTTAACTTCGAGGTGGATGAACGAAGGATAGGGAGAGAGAGGTAACAAAGGGGGAAAATGAAGTGTATGAGGTGAGAAGTATGGGGAGGGATGTTATGGTTAACATTTTGAGTTCCTCGCATCGAATATAGCTCCCTATCATCACTCACCGCAACTCAATTGGGCTCCCACGCTATCAAGGCTGCCCTTGCCAAAGTTCCGGTCATCAAGGCTGTCGATGTCGAGGAGGTTTTCTTTGGAAATGTTTTGTCGGCCAAGTATGTTTCCTTATCCCCTTCACTCATGCCACCTACGGTGTTACTTTTATACTGCTGCACTTCTGCTGCCGTGCCGGTTGATGGGAGATTGCATGGTATGGCGAATTTCGATGGGTGTTTATCCTGACATCGGCTATCTACAGCTTGGGACAGAATCCTGCGAGACAATGTGCACTTGGAGCTGGATTGGCTCAGTCCACCGTGTGCACTACCCTCAACAAGGTGTGTGCTTCTGGGATGAAGGCCATCATTCTAGGGGCTCAGACTATTATTACTGGGAATGCCGACGTAAGCTCTTCTTTAGTTGGGGGCATTGATGATGGGCAATGTCCTTATAAATGATGAATGGTGTTTCATAGATTGTCGTTGCCGGCGGAACTGAGTCTATGAGCAACACCCCATACTATATCCCTACAGCTAGAAGCGGAGCCCGCTATGGCAACCAGCAAATGGTTGACGGCGTTGTCCGTGACGGTTTGTCAGACGCCTACGATAGCCAGGCAATGGGTTTTGCGGCGGAGGAATGTGCGCAAGATTATACTTTCTCGAGAGAAGGTTCGGACGCCTATGCTATTAAGTCATATCAGAAGGCCCAGGATGCAGTGGCCAACAAGCGCTTTGCCGAAGAAATCGCACCAATCGAGGTTTCCGGTGGCAGGGGAAAGCCTAATACTCTCGTCGAGGTTGATGACGAGCCTAAGAATGTGAGCTTTAGTATCCACTGGTCTGCGGTAGCTAGAGGAAATCCAGGTGGGCTGACGGTATTCACCTTTTGAAACGAAACAGTTGAACATCAGCAAACTCAAGACTGTCCGTCCAGTCTTTGTCCCAGGCACCGGTACTGTCACCGCTGCAAACGCATCCCCAATCTCGGACGGTGCGTCAGCCCTGGTCCTCGTCTCGGAGGCCAAGCTCGCGGAGCTCAACCTTGCCCCACTGGCCAAAATCATCGGCTGGGGTGAAGCGGCAAAGGCCCCATCCAAGTTCACCACAGCGCCCTCTCTTGCGATCCCTAAGGCCCTCAAACACGCCGGTCTGTCGCAGGAGCAAGTTGACTTCTTTGAGATCAACGAGGCCTTCTCTGTTGTCGCGTTGGCTAATGTTAAAATCCTTGGCCTCGATGAGGCTAAGGTTAACGTCAACGGTGGAGCTGTGGCGCTCGGTCACCCACTCGGATGTTCTGGTGCGAGAATCGTCACGACCCTTATTAACGTTCTCAAGCAACGCGAGGGGAAGATTGGGGCCGCGGGTATTTGCAATGGTGGTGGTGGCGCCTCTTCTATCATTGTTGAGGTTGTATGAATGAATGGGGGTGGTTTTATTTTTGTTGCAGTCATGCTGTGATATTTTACTTGTATGTGGTAGTACCTAGTTGGTGATGGCAACGTTTAATTATGACTGTCGATAAGTTACCATCTTACCTTGACATGAACTCGTACTGTACTCGAGTACCGGTACAGTATTAACGGGTACGAATTCACAACGTGTTGAATGCGAAAAAAACAAAGAACTCAGCCGAAAATGGGGACTATGGTAACGAATAAGTCTCCACGTAGGTATCCCAGCAATAGCTTAGCTCTGCTCCCCCCCAGCTTACTTTGAGTCAATGGTCATCAACACTAACCGACGGACGAGGCCCTATTCATTTGCTGATGCTATTCCGACTAACCAACCAACCCGTGCGGTAGCTCTCCTCTCCCTGGTTGCGATACGAGTGCGCAATACTACAAAGATCCTGCCATTAATGGACTTGCACTGTACCACTGACTCATCCTCCCGACCAGTTCCAGTCATTTGCAGCCTATTCAACTCATGTTACCGCTCACCCACACCCTCCATAACCCGCGGAGAGAGGGATAGATAAATCAAGTCCCATACCCTCAGGTACCACCGCGCGGCCGGAAACCTACGGTAACGTGAACCCACTCTATATAATGCCGTAAAGTTCCACGGGACGTCGGCGCGGTTTGAAAATAGAGCGAGTGAGTGTGACTGGCATGATGAATAACGCGCTCCTCTTTGTGGATATATCATACATGGGAAGTCACCCAACTGTACCGGTTGTCGAGGTGGGACAAGTTGCTCATGCTTTCAAATTTCTCAAGCTTTCAGGTGAAGAACTTCTTTCTCCTTTAGACTTCGGGGAATGATCATCTTTTCACCTTTGAACAAAACATCAATCTGCTTTAAGTAGCTGTAGCTCTTGTCTTTCCACTTCCTCCTTCCTGCTTCACTTCAGCTGTGGCTACTTCCAGCTTCTAGCAGCCTAAACTCCTATTTCCACCCCCTTTGATTTCACTCTTGACAAACATCCCGCAATCACTGGAATCCTGATAACTACCATCTTCATCTGACAGTCTTGGTTGGGTGAGGTTTGGGTTGTCGAGTGATTTTTGGTGGAGCAGGGAAGGAAGTATGATACTAACTAGTTACTTTCTATCGTTTTCATTTTTCCTTCCAACATCCATTTCACGGTATTCAAACACCTGCACTAGAGCGCAGGTTCATAGCGTAGATCTTGAGTGTAGCTGAAAAGGGATGAAAGGTTGCGGTCATTATACCCATGACTATGACTTAGTATACTGCTGGAGAAGAATTGGGTTTATCAGATTCGTGGTAAATAAGTACATTTCGTATTATAGTCATAGTTAGCACCAGAAATTTAGCATAAGGAAAATCTGTATCTATTTCAAAAAAAAAAAAAAAAAAAAAGAAGAAAAGAGGAAAGAAGACAGATTGTTTTATTTTTATTTTTTGAGATTATCAGAATATGTATTAAAACCCTAACCCTTGAATGTTTCTTTTCCTGTCATCATATAACTAACTTATATGATATTCAAACTTTCTGAAACTGAGGAAACCAAGTATAATAATAAGATTAGTTTCAGATAATTACCTCTATGTTTTAGTAGGATAACACTCGGTTTTACATTTTAGAAGAAGTAAGTAATGCTTAGTTTCTTGTAATGTATTAAAGGAAAATTTTGATGGAGTATTTAATGCAAAATTACTATACACTGGATGGTTGTAGTGCTTGGTAAAAGTTCACTCAAGCATTAGTGTATAGGGCAGGCTTGGTTAAGGCTAGTGAATACAGGCTACAAAGTATTTAATATTTGCCACCTTAAATAAGTGAAGTTATCTTATGTTGATTTTAATTGTTCTTCTAATGAGATGCTCCACCAATCATTGCATGCCATTTGATGAAGCAAGGACTACTATTATTCACACCACAGAGAGCAATTGGTGGCATTGTAATATGACTTTCAAATATGTCTCAGTTATACATTAGATTATGACAGAATTCCAGTGATAGTTACTAGTATGAGTTTAGTTACACATGAACTCATTACATGGTTGACTATAATAGAGTTTAGTTGTAACGATCCCTCTTGAGATGGTTAGTTCTTGGTGACGGGGAACAATACTTCTCTTCTCATTCTTATTCTTTCTTTGTCTTAAGATAGCACTAGGCCTCTGCCTATGTTACCGATAGTACAAGACCTCTGTTTTCTATCAGGAACGCCTATTATAAGCTTTCTCTAACTCTTCTCTGTAAAGAGCAATCCTCTGTGTGATGATAAAAATTGCAATAGAGATAAAGATTGTAAAGGTGTTTTATATTTGTTAAAGTAATAAGTAGGAAAAGTACTTAGAATTCAATCTAATTTTATTCAAACTCGTACCGCCAATACTGGTATACGATGAGTCTCAGGACCGGGCCCCTAGGTTGTTGTATCCTGGATACCACTAACTACGAACTAACTAAACCTCCAACCCCGTACCTCAAACATGCCTGTACCATGCCCCAACACGAACACTAAATACAAAGCCATCAATGGTAAAGAAAAGTCCTCCTCAGCCCAGCCTACCCACCAGCCAAGTTACCCATACAAAATACAAAAATTCCACTACTGCCACTACAATGTGACCTTACAAAAACCTCCTCCACAATAGAAACCCACCCGAGTGTCCCCACTCAATGATCCTGGGACACCCCGCCAACTACCCCGGCACCTGTCCCCATTCCCAAACAAAACAAACACCCAACACCCAAGCACGTAAACACGAGGGAAAGCCGACTTCCAGGTTGAGGGCTTCCTAGCTAAGGGGGTATGAACCGTCGTAGAGAATCAGGGGGGCACCACACTGGCAGCGCAGCCCAAAAACCTCGACGGAAGCAGCTAGAACGAGATAGTCCCCAAGCCGATGGCACTTGACCGAACATGCCCATGTATTGAGCTCCTCCTCTAACTCCTCGGCTCACTACGGAGGTGGCGAACATGCCACAGACTCTGTAGTAGTCGGTTAGCGATAGCGAACCGGTGAAGGTGATAACCTTTCCGAATCGGGGACAAGTGGTACAGGTGAGGTGTAGCCTGGTTTGACCCGGCACTTCTTGTTTTTCTTTCTCTTCCCACCCCCAGGTGCGGATCTAGTAATAGGAGTGAACGGGCCACCCTCATCACCACCCACCGCCATATGGGGGACGCTACCAGTGGAGTTACCCTGACCAGCCATGGGGTCAGCCACAGAGGACTCAGGCACCTGCCCCCCTGAAGGGGCTAATACCACTGTAGCTGGTGTCACCTCACCGGGAGCCACACCACCCATACTAGGAGCAAACACTTCAACCGGCCCTGACGAATCAGGGGCCAGTCCACCTACACTACTACCTACAACTGAAGCTGCAGTAGGGGCGAGGATAACCAGTGGCGCAATATTCTCCCGAGGGGCCTCCTCCACTTGACCCTGAGAATTCTCAGGGTCTAGCCCACCTCCCCCAACTGAGACCACTGTAGTAACCGAAGTGACTGAGGGGACAGGCGAAGAGGGGATAATGGTAGGACCTTCAGCCGCCAACATCGTAAGATAACTGATATTAATAGCGCATTTATTCTCGCGGGCAGCTGACATGGCAGATATCTCTTTCCTAGTGCGAAGAAATCGCTGAGAAATGATGGAGATGTGATGCTGAAGGCAAGAGACTTCGGCCTCCAGGGTGAAGTTCTTCTTGACGGCTGGAGACAGAACTACCGACTAATGTAGAGTGGATGTGGCAGAGGGGGCGGAGGCTGGCTTAGCCATTGTGACTGTGAGGAGGCGACTGTAGTGAATAAACTGAAAAGATAAGTAAAAGGAAGAAAGGACTTCCAGCAAACGTAGGAGGAGGTATAATAACCAAGTCTCCAAAAGGTATTTGAAGTTAAAGACTTGAAGCCTATCGTGAGATAGAAATCAAGGGCTCTGATTGGATTGACACCAAACCTTCACTACCGACACAGGGTAAAAGAAGGAAGAAAAGTACTTAGAAGTCAATCTAATTTTATTTAAACTCGTACCACTAACACTGGCATACGATGAGCTCCTGCTGGCACAGGGATACCGCTAACAGGTATACCACTAATCCAAAGCTAGCCAAGTCTACGGTCCAGCACCTGCCAGCCCCGAGTCATGCCCGCAATAGAACCAATTATAAAACCATCAAACAACCCGGTGCCCATCCCAGTCCAAGTCTGTAGCCCCTGTGGTATGAAGCCAACCAGCACCAAGCATAGCCGAGGAAGAGCAAGAGACTGACTCAACCAGGTTCCTTGTGCAACAAAAATATAAAATCACTAACCCCCGGTCTGAATACCGTCCCGCAAAACCTCCACTATAGTAAAAAACCAACAAAAAACCCAAACAAATATAAACTACAGGCGACACAAAGGCAGAGAGCTGGCGACCAACATGTCCATCTCTCGCATCTGCATGCCCGGCCGTCGACCCTATGAACCCACTTTGTCAAGTACCTCCGAAGAGCGTATTGGTGAGGAGGACCTGTACCTGCTACCTGTCTCCCAAAAAACAAAATTCCATAAACAAAGGAAATACATAGAGGTGGGGACAGACCGAAATGGTCAGTGGGGCCTATCTCCCACCCATGGTGCCTTGTCCCCGCCAGCCATGCCCACTGCCAAACCAAAGAAACCAAACAAGCTCCACAACACCCAGCACACAGAACCCAAACAAGTCCGACCAGGTGGTTGCAACACACTATCCGAACAGGTGGCCATCAGCTAACCGGTCCGTCGGGGAGCTTTACAATACTCAGCAGCTTCGCCCAACAGTCCTGGCAGGACTGGAAATACTAAATTAGACCTCACCCTACCTGATGCAGGCCCGACCGGTACTCGCAGGTGCCTTCCCCCCCCCAATCAGTCCCTCCCAAGCCCCATACAGCAGATGCCACAGAGCCCATCCAGCCCCCCCAGCCCCTCAGACAGATCAACCATCCGATAGCCACAGGACAGCGTATACCCAGCCCCATCAGGCAGCCATTGGTTTTGGACACACGAATAGAGCCCCAACCCTCAACACTGTATAGCCGAGGGGGTCCCACCAGCCACAGCCGGGAGCTACAAAGGAGGTAGCACC